TTGACTATATATCGACTTTAATTTAACTACTAAATCCAAATTGCAATTTAACTACTAAATTTAAAGTATCATTTAGTTCAGTTTCAGATCATTTGAAATTCTAATATGTAACACTTGATTGCTTGACATTCATAGGATAACATAGAATAAATCTGGCAAGGTATGAGGAATTAACTCGGCAAAAGGAAACACTGACTAGAAGTAATTTATAGAACGTACTTTGTTTCAAGTAATACTAAGAATTAATATTTAATGATTTTGTAAATTTGTGAAAAATGGAAAAGAGAAGTATTAAAGAGAACCTATTCTTAATTTATGTGATAATTTAGGCAGGTAAGTAACAATCAAAAACAAGATGTGAATTTATAGTTGTAGCGTAATAGTGTAAAATAAAGCTCGTATCTAAAGCATCCTTCTGTGTTTTGTCCACAGTGGGCATGGATTTGTAAATACTAAACCCATGCAGTAACGGAATATTAAGGTAAAATCCTGTTGCTTTAATAGATTGAAACTTGTTGACTGAAGGTCTTATATTAGGTTTTGAATTAAAATAGTACATATGATTTTTTTTTTAAAACTGACAACTGAAGTTCTTGTAGCAGTTTTAAAACCAAAATAAAGTTTATGGTGTCTTACAGTTTTATGTTACTGAAATTTAAACCTATAACTATATATTGAAGTCCTTGCTTTACTTTGTAAGTAAAATAATAAACTATTGTAAGGATAAATGCCAACTAACATAAGGAAATGTGGTTAACAGAATTATATTACTAGTCCGAAGTTTTTGTTTCTGTTTATTTTCATAAATATGTTACCGCGCGTACAGACGCTGTAACGGTTTAGTCTTCTAATCTACTGAAATAATAGGAATTATAAAATTAAAACCAAGTTGTTGGATAGCCCACATAACAAACTGTAATTTTATACCTAATAATGCGATATTTTTCTGATTATTATCGGGCATTAAAATCATTTTAGTAAAAGATATGCTCTTTTATGAATATAATTTACGTTGAAAAATACTGCTAAAATGGCTTTATTAATCAATGTTCTCAGTATTTATTATAACAGAACCGTAAACTAACTTTGACAATTTCAAGAAGAATAGTTAGGAAACTAAGAATGTATTTCACAAAATAGAGTTCATTTGTATTAAAACCTTAAAGACAAAAATCAGCTTTATATTTTCTATCAATAGAAGAGCATACTTCCGATTTACAATAAAAAGTATATACTGCGTTGATGAGAAATATACCAAATGATGAAAAAATGATCAATCGGGTTTACGCTATTACTTAAAGTACAATGAACTAGCTTTACAAAAGAAATGGGGAAGAAAATGATGTTGGAAACTGGTATTTATGATCTACGAATTGTTTAGGCGGGATGACTTCTTTTGTTAAAAAGACACTCGATGGTTTTCATTGTAATGTCGTCAAGAAAAAACTCATACCTAACCGTATTAGTGATATGTGGTATTACACTGACATTCCAACTTTTTCTTAACGAAAAAGAGACTTTTTGCTGTTACGATTTGGGCGACATGTTTACATTATAATCTCTTCTGAAAAGCGCATTTTGTATACAATATATAGAATACTAAAATGCAATATATAGAATAAAACAAGTTATTCAAATTCCATTTTCTGATACTAAATTAATCGCAATACAAAGCTTACATACGTTTTCATATTTGCTTATTTATACACATCTAGAAGTATTAAATTGAATAATTTTAAGGACAACGTAAAACACAATGACGTACTTCAAGAGGCTTATGCTCTATTTTGAAATTTATTTCTTAATTTGTAAAACTTAACAACTGTATATATATATTGTCCGACAAACAGACGAAGATATTAACTTCTACTTAAGCTACGGGCCCGGCGTGGCCAGATGGTTAGGGCGCTCGACTCGCAATCTGAGAGTCGCGGATTCGAATTCCCGTCCCACCAAACATGCTCGCCTTTTCAGCCGTGAGGGCGTTATAATGTGACGGTCAATCCCACTATTCATTGGTAAAAGAGTAGCCCAAGAGTTGGCGGTGGGTGGTGATGACTAGCTGCCTTCCCTCTAGTCTTACACTGCTAAATTAGGGACGGCTAGCGCAGATAGCCCTCGTGTAGCTTTGCGCGCAATTCAAAACAAATAAACTTAAGCTACGTGTTCCCTATCAGGGTAAGCAATCAACAGTTTCTCAATCCTTGACTTTCTTATATATGTAAACATATTTTTGTATCTATTCGTTATTCTTTTCCAAAAGTGTGACTTATGATAATTGAAATGTGGATGTAAGATACTGCGTACAAACGGGCATTTTTGCTAAATTTTTAACTGTATATTTATGCATGTTGAAAAATCTAGCTTTTTGTTTCTTGTAAATTGTAAAACATTAATAACTTCATCTCCAGGAAGACTGAAATGCAAATGTAGTTCAAGCTATTTGTAGCAAGATCCTGTATTTCGTTTAAAGCATTTTCTTGAAGCTATACTTTGAGTTTATTACTGAGATTTCTTGTGTTTTTTGAACCGTTTCTAAAACAGTTATTTTTTGTCAAAGAAATGATAAAGAATACATTTCTTTTTACGATTATTGAAACTTGTTGAAAGAGGTTAATGGTGCATTTTCTGTTGAAAGTAAAACTGAAAATCTGTTAAACAAGAACTTATTTATTTGATGATTCTGCGGCTCTTTTTTATCTTTACTTACCAATAGGAATCCCGATACCAAGATCGTTGCACTGTGTGCAGAAAATAGCGTAAAGTCCAGCCATTGCTAAGTTGATGGGTTTAGAAAGAAGCAGTGTACCGACGGCAACCAGAATAAAGATTATGACTTTGGACAACATTAGACCACCCAGTAGCTTCCAGTGAACAGATTCCAGATTGATAGTAGCAATGGAGAGGATGATGACTGCAGGTAGAGAAAAGTAGGTAACGAACGTATTTAGACCTATGGCTTGACTAGGCATCATTATACGTGTGCGACCTGCCAAGTACCTAATGAGAAAAAAACATAATAAAAGCAGATACAACACAATATTCTAGAATGTAAAATCATTGTTTTATCTTTCTATGAAATCACGTTCATACGGATACACTTCCACTTGTATCCTTCCGAAAATGCTCGATATCAACCTTCGCTTATCTCTCTACGTCACAAGCCTCGTCATATTCATCATTGATTGAATTTAATAAAGTCAAGGTTCATAGTGGAATATTATTATTATTATTGTTATCTATGCTGAATACTTTTTAAAATTTAATCCTCTATGATGATAATTTGTTTTAATATATCAATTTATTGAATAATGTTATGCACTGCCACATTATTTGTAAATTACTTGATCTTTCTCGTAAATATTTTTAATTGATCGCTGTTTCAGAAAAAAGCATATACATTGGAAAAAGGTCTACAGTCGAGCACCGATATGTCGAAGTATTAGGGACTTTATTCGAGGTATCATAGCTGATTTTGGACCTTGACCTTAGTTTTTTTTTGAAATATGATAAAAGTGGGTTAGAAGATACAATAAATCTTAAAGGAAATGAACGGAACTGAATTCCGACTTCAACATCAACCACGTATTCGAGATATCCAAGTTCGACAATCCGCTGTTCGATTGTATTAGTAATTTCAGCCAGTGGTTATTATTACTACTATTGAATTAGTATATATAATTTACTAGGTTTATTAAGAAGGGAATTGTCTAGCTAGTAGCAAAGGGAAATAAATCTTCTGATAAACACCAGTTTCTGATTCATATCAACTGTACTGAATAATTATTTTATACTCTGAAAATAACTGAAATTTAAACTCGTACATCTTATTACCCATATTTCAACTTTACTATACTTTTTGTTTGATTTTAATGTAGTTTTATAACAACTTTAATTGGAAGATAAACTTGTGCTAAAGATGTAATTAATTATATAACTTTTACGTATATACAGAGGTTGAGTAGGTTATATTAAAATGATTTTGGAACCTCACCACGTCGTTAAAGTCCATGCCACCACATTTGGCCATATTCTATTTGACAATCATGCATCTTGTAAATAACTCTGAAGCGTAGTTTCCATTGCGAAAGGTTCTATTATAATGCTTTCATGTCAAAACCACACTATTACTCCCCGCAGACCTTCCAAACTTCATTCAGAGTACAAGGACGATAGTTTCCCAGCACCGTTTCGATTGTCCGATTGCACAGAAACACATAGAAGACTTGTATGTCTGCGTATGGAATAGCGCGAATACCCGTTTCATTCTCCAGTGTCTTGGCGTATATGGCGGTTGAACAAAGATATAATGGAAGCAACTTGTGTACACGTGACTTGTGTCTCTCTTTTTTTTTTTCTTGATTATGTTGCGCACTTTTATCTAAGACACGTGAAGGGTTTGCCACTGACGTTTGTGGTCGTGAATTCTCACTTGTTACAAGGCACTATTCTCACTGCAACTGGGGTACGACTTGTTGCAGATCTCTTTCTGGATGGTTCTGGTACCAGTGCTATTAAGTACCAGGGATATTCTCGTCTTGGAAATTGTAAATCTCCGGTCTAAATATATTTTTATGATCTAAGTGTATGAATATTTATGTTGGTAAGGGCTGTTATGCATACACTTTCCAAAAAGGATAATTTTCGGTGGCATCACCTGTCTATGTAACACCAAGCAATGTCAAAATGTAGTTTTGATAAGTCCCATTCTACTGCGACTTTATATTGGCTGTATTTGTCACGTGACTTACTTATTAGCGTATTTAAAATCGTTTAAATATAACGTACTAAACCCTCTGTACAATATGTTTAATTTTATTCATATATACTTAGATAATGAAATAGATGTTTGAAAATCACTGTTTAGTTTGTTTGTTCAGAAACTGTTCTTAATTAATCACACAAGCGTTGACTTATTTCAAACATACGTGTAAATGCAAATCCTTTAATCTGTAAGAAGAACGATCATTCTTGTATCAAAACCAAATCAACTTATTTGGAAGTGTCACTGATTTAGAACTATCTCATAATTACACTGCACAAAACAATAATTAAAGGATAATCGAAATTTGTAATATTACAATTACGATAAGGCGTGGCACTTGTAGAGAAAGTCTTGAAGGACTACTCTACAAAAGTATCTCAGATGAAAAGAACGAGTTTTCTCGTTTTACATATTTCTATCCAAACATGTTTTATATATAGTATAATTCGTCTTCTAATAAGGTTAATTAAGTATTAGAATATTCATAAATCTTAATCAGTACTCGAAATGTTGTGTTTCTTACCCACACAAGATAACGACAAAGCATTGTAGCAAAGTTGGAACGAAATATTCGAAAGCCATTTCGGAGTCATTCTTGGAAGTAGCGTTTGAGTTTGCAGGGAGTACCTAATAAATAGATATGTATGTGGCATTGAATTAATTATTACAAGTAAGTGTGAACTATGTATGAACTATTTTGCTTACTGAATTACATATAATTTGGTATTAAATTATGGTCTGTAATAAATAAATCTGTATATTAGAAGAAAAAACATTCCTAAAGTAAATTTAAAGTTTTTAGCACTTTGCACGAAGATTAAGGAAACGAATAACAATACGAGCGTTATAAACTGACGAAATGGCCCGGCATGGCCAGGTGGTGAGGGCGCTCGACTCTCAATCTGAGGGTCGCGGATTCGAATGCTTGTCCCACCAAACATGCTCACCCTTTCAATCGTGGGAGCGTTATAATGTTACGGTCAATCCCACTATTCATTGGTAGAAGAGTAGCCCAAGAGTTGGCGGTGGGTGGTGATGACTAGCTGCCTTCCCTCTAGTCTTACACTGCTAAATTAGGGACGGCTAGCGCAGATAGCCCTCATGTAGCTTTGCACGAAATTCATAACAAACCAAACCTTATGTGGCACACGGACTAAAAACGGCCAAGTCAGAAATCCCAATTTTCAGGCATAACTGTTCCTAATTTAGAAATGCTGATTACAATTCCGCAGCACCCGCCACCAACACGGCTAGTTTTAAATGAATAAAGAGATTAAATGCCACTTTTGTAACGCACCCACATCTGAAATCTTGGACCTTCCAAACCGGAACTCGACATAATGGCCACTATGCTACGACCTGCCCAACTTTACGGTTACGCTTGGCAATGAATAAGCTTCTTTATTGTTTTAAATGTTTTGAGAAACAAAAAAATGTTTAAAATTATTCCACGGTTTTGATTTTTGAAAGTTTCTGCTACTATATTGGCCAATTTAAACACTATCAAACTTGAGCTGTAATTCCTTAGAGCAACATTTATATTTCATCTACTTGTATAAAAAAATATCTGTTTAATCTTTGAGCTTAAACCATTTAAAAGATCTAAGATTTTTTGACTCCGTATTGACCAAAGTATGTGAATAGAGGATCCACTTAAGCAGTAAGTCTGAGGACTTATAGAGCTAAAAATCAGATTTCGTTACTCGCGGCGGGCACAGTACAGATAACCCATTGTGTAACTTTGTAATAAACAGTCAAACGTAAATAGAATATACCTGTTTTTGATAATGTAGTACGTTATACTAACAGCTTTTACTTTCCTTGTTATAAATGGTATAGGAACTGTCTGTCGTTGAATTACATGTCAACAGTAACGATAATACTCAGGTTACACACTAATACATTGCTGATTCATACACAATAGTATTAAACTTATTTTGTTTTTACACACCACAGCTGTATTCTATTGTATAACAATTAATCTAATGCCACATAGCTTTTCACTTAATACAGGTAATTTTCGTGTAATTTAAAGCGGCAGAATAGCGGCTCATTGAATGGCTCCGAGTTTTTCAAGTACAAACTTTTAGCTCACACCGATTTGAGGTCTAATTACAGTTTTGCTCTCAGAGGGGCCTTCCAGTGGCACAGCGGTATGTCTGTGGACTTACAACGCTAGAATCCGGGTTTAGATACCCGTGGTGGGTAGAGCACAGATAGTCCATTGTATAGCTTTGTGCTTAATTTCAAACAAACAAGCTCTCAGGAGGTCAAACCCTTTCGATTGA